TGTCTAAATTTATAAACCTTTTTGCAATTGGTATTATTTTATACATATATATATATATATATATATTGCAAAGTAATAAGGGTTTACTAGACGTAAATGATGAAATCACAACAGATTTGAAAAGAAAAAAATACGCTAAGTTGCAAACGAAAAAAATGGAATATCACAAAGCAACTGGAAAAACTGCGGAAGGTAAAAGGGCAAATCATAGCAGGATACATTTAAAAGCATAAGTGAGGGTTATGAAAAATAAATATATATTAACCAAAGAATCGGTATTAATTTGATTAAAACGAAATTCTAGAAATTAGGATGAGTAGATGTGAGAATGGTGGAAGGAATTTTGGCATTATAGAAATTAAATTTATGTCCAAGATTCCAACAGTGTGCAGGAGAGCATGTCTTATCTATCTTATTCCTTAAATCTAAATTTTAAAATGTGTTTGGTTTTCCTGATGTAGCTAAGGTAGCATTGGCATGGTATATGTTCAATGCCTGTGCCATTACCAATATTGATAGAAGCATTAAGGGCAATAAGTTTAATATTGCTAATGCCTTTAAAACGAAAACTTGACAAGTTAATAACATTTTTGTAGCAAACAGAGTTAAAAAACGGAAAGGTAACGATTTTACTGTAAGGGTTGGAAGAGGGGCGCTTTTACTATAGCAAGAGTTATTCATGACACAAAAGGTAATCGTCTAACCTATATGAATATTATGATTAGTGTATATAATCTGGAATAAAAATTCTACTGAAGTATTTAAACTATACTGTTACTTTTTTGAATTTTCTTTTAGCAAAATAGCTTTGAGAAGTTTTTTTAACAGCAAAACAATTATTTTTAAATTGTTTTTTAAGCAATGCACATTTCATTAATATGTGTCACTTGTTTTCAGAACAACTGGATTTGCAAACTCATTATTCAGAAAGGCAGAAAAGGTCAATTTCTCTCGACAAGTTCAAGCTGCCGTGCATGAAAACAATTCTTCAATTTTTTTCATGCTTTCTATCGTTAGTTAAATGATTTCAGTGAAACTGTATTCTTTGTATCTTCTGTTTACAGTCAGAAAGTAATTAAAGTTATATAAGAAAGAATATCCTACTCTTTTAGCGCCGTATCATTCATTGTTTTTAAGGTATTGTGTCATTGAGTTTTGGTTTTAATTGGTTTGAAGCTTTTAATTTTAAGAGAACAGTTTAGTTTTTCAGTTTTAAAAAGCACTAATGGAAGTAAATGCGGTTTTTACTTTGAAATATAACAGAAAACTCATAAATGCGAGAAAATATTTTCTGAAAATTATTGATCTTAATAAACTTTATTTGGTAATTTTAAAAAATTACTATATTTTTCTTTTTTGTTTTATATTTTTTTAGTGTATTTCTTCCCAATTTAGTTGTGAAATGTAATCCATCCGACTCAAAAAATAAGATATGCCGTAAACCTTTCTTATGATACGTAATTAAAAACATTTGAAAGGTCAATTTTCATTGTAATTAAAAACTCCAACTGACGAAGATAAATCCAATCAGAATTTTTACGTAGACTTTTTAAAAGAACAGAAAAAATAATTTGAAAATACTATTTCTTAAAGTGATGAAATTTTGCTAGATATCATTCAATAAATTTTAAGAGGTTACACGCTGTAGCCAAGAGTGTATTCTATAAGGGTTCGTTGTAAATGTCCCTGCAATGAATGTTCATGATAAGTTCTTTAAGAGACTTAATTTAATTGACAAGCTTGAAAGTTACTTTAAAATTAAGCCGATACATACTTTAAAATTGAACTGATACTTGGTGCAGAAGTCTTGTATTTAAGGAAATGATAAAATAACTACTTTATTGTGATGATTTTAAAGAAAGGGTCGGTTACTGTTTCTACGTTTTCATCAGTCACATGTCGTCCTGACGAGGAGCGCAGTGTTTTGGGCAATTTAGATAATTTTATTCCATTTCAAATTTGAAGCTTGTGGTAAGTTGTAAATGTCCCTGAGATAATCAATGTAGATAGGGACCTTTAGAAACTTGATTTATAGGCTTGATATACAGACATATTAACGGGACCTCTCTTAAAAATTAATACAAGAAATGGTAAAATAACCACTTTATTGTGTAACCATTTAGGTGGCTTTTTCTTCTATTTAAACTTTGGAGAAAAGGAAGTTTGCATTTTCCATATTATTCAATAGTATTCCATATGAATTATTCGTTTTATATAAGACTATTTAAGGAAAGTTGTGTCGGTTATTCGATCAAGAGTCCTATTTTCGGAATTTTAAGTTATAAAATGTAATATTCAATGAAGATATATAACCGAGTTTTCTTAACTATTATTAATTTGGTATCAAACTTTATTGAGTAATTCGATTTAAACCAGATATCCGGAGAAGTTTTATTTACTTCCCATCCAGAACTATTTGCCGAAATTTGATGTGCTTCGTATCAGTTAACAACTAGAAAATGAGATTCCACGCATTTATAATTAGTGTAGTTTATATCCGGTAACAGATTCAACGCATACCCCTAATTAATTTATTTTCCAGTTCAAATTATCGCTTCGGTATATCAGGAACATGGATTTACGGAGATAGAAAGTTAATTATTTCGAAATGATTGGAATACGATACATGCGAGATTTAGTTTGAAATCAAATTACGATCATGTTTTCGAAATTAAAACTTAGTTTCGTTTTCATCACATATTAATAAAACATCTATTTCAAAAACATTTAGACGAGAGATATTTTATTAAGTAAATTGAATTGCAATGTCTGAATTAGTTAAGTGAATTGCAACTTGTCTCAAAAATCAATCAATTTTTATAAACAGTTCCTGTTATGAAAATGCTTATGCGTAGTTTATTTTGATATTTTTGTATTGTACTGTTGATATGAATTATTGATTGATTTTTTTTTATGTTACTCTAATAAAATGTGCCTTTTTTGCTATAAATATTAACAAGGGGTGGGAAGGGGCATCACCCGGGCTTGCCATCATATCTTAAACCCCGGAATTGCTTATGTAGTTCTTTTCAGCGATCTAAATTTGCTTTGTTCGTTCAATCTGTCTTTGTACTGTTTAATATACCAGATCTTATACCATCTTTTCTCTTATATATATTTTATTTTAAATATATTAGAAGCAGAGAAAACCCTGCTCAATGCCGCTCGCCAATTTTCAAAACTACTCGCACAGTTCTCTTAGGATCGCTTCGCAATCTGAGCTAACTATATTCTTTTATTTCTCCTTCGTTTTATTTAATATCACATTTTTTACGGTTTAATTTTCATAATTTATTCTAAATACCTATCAAATATTTGAAGAAAGACAGATGTTCATATCAAAGTTATTTTCACCATTAGATTTTTATTTGATTGAATATCATAGAACAACGATAGCCCTATGAAAATAAACATCACAATTTTTTTAGCTCATGGAATATCGTTAAGTATTTATAGTCAAATAAATAACAACAATCATAATAGACTATTGACTCATAGAACACTATAAAAAAACGCGACAGCCATATTGAAATTGGCTAGNCTTTTCAGCGATCTAAACTTGCTTTGTTCTTTCAATCTGTCTTTGTACTGTTTAATATACCAGACCTTATACCATTTTTTCTTTTATATATATTTTATTTTAAATATATTAGAAGCAGAGAAAACCCTGCTCAATGCCGCTCGCCAATTTCCAAAACTACTCGCACAGTTCTCTTTAGATCGCTTCGCAATCTGAGCTAGCTATATTCTTTTATTTCTCCTCCATTTTATTTAAAAACGCATTTTTTACGGTTTAATTTTCATAATTTATTCTAAATACATGTCAAATATTTGAAGAAAGATGTTCATATCAAAGTTATTTTCACCATTAGATTTTCATTTGATTGAATATCATAGAACAATGATAGCCCTATGAAAATAAGTATCACAATTTTTTTAGCTCATGAAATATCATTAAGTAATTATAGTCAAATAAATAACAGCAATCATAATGAACTATTGACTCAAAGAACACTATAAAACAACGTGACAACAGCCATATTAAAATTGGCTATCACAGCTTAGTTGATTTACATGAAATAATAACCGCATAAAAATGAATATCATTATGAAAGTTCAGCATATGGAATATCATGAAACAATGACAGCCATATTAAAAACTACTTCCACAATTAGAATTTCATGAGACTGAATATCATAAAACGATGACATTCATATTAAAAATAACACAACTGACTGACGGTAATAAAACAATGACAAACGTGTTATAAATGACCAACATTGTTACTTGATTAAATGTCATAAAGTAATGATATTCATTTTAACTGTTTACAGTTTAATGATATTCATTTTAACTGTTTACAGTTTAATGATATTCATTTTAACTGTATTAAATGACTCATTTAATACATACGTTAAGTATCATAAAGCAATTTAAGAAATACATATTTTTCTGAGAAATTGCATCAATGATGAACATTATTTCAAGAAGTTTGATCATAAGAACGCACTTATTAAAAATCTTAACACGCAAAATAAAACTCATTACATACGACTGGTATAAACTTGAAACAGGAAAACATGAATCAAAACTTCTTGTACGTTTCATATACAAATAGTTTTAAATCAAATAAGCTTCTTTTGAGATTAGGCTGGACAAGAATGCTTTCTCTAAAATGGTTGTCACTGAGTTAAATGAAAAATCCCTCTTGTGCACATACCAATCCTTAATACGAAATGTTCGAGTTATTATTTGTCTAAGAACCGGTTTCCTGTGATAAAATGACAGTAATAAGGACAGAAATAGAAACTTTTCATTAAAACTTACAGAGAAGTTGGTGACTGTTTTGAAGCGAAAAAAGAAAAAAGTCATTTTGAAAAGATGCTGAAATTTCAAAACTATTAACTCCTGCCGAATACCAGTATTTGGCTCGTTAAATACACGATGGACCCTCATATCTTTTGAAAAATGAAAAAAAAGCAAAGTGAGTAATATTTAAACTTTTGACATCAGTTTTTAGCAAGCCGTCATCAAAGAATTTTTCTAAATGATTGAGAAATGATTCTTCTAATGATTTAGAAAATCATTCGATAAATGATTTTCTAAATGTCTATTTAGAGGAAATTTTCCAAAAAAAATAATTCCTCTTCTTTAAAATAACTCTCGGGTTTTAGTATCGATACAGTTTAATTGTTATTGGGCTGTAAGCAATTATATTATTCGTTATTGGGTTCGTGGGGTAAACTTTTTTATATATAAAAGTGAAAGAAATTATTAAATCATGTAATATCCATTCTGGTCCGAATCCTTATGTCATCTCTCTGACAATCCGATAGCACAAAATCTTTGTTCTTTGCTGGCAAAACACTGATCGAGGTAATTTTTGACCTCCTTATATAAAGTAAGTTTTTATCGTGAATAAATATCGAATAAACATTAAAAATGGAACATTGTTGTAGATAACCTATTTCTTGTTCCCAGTGATGATGTTCTTCAAAAAAGGATAATATTCCTGACGATTGAAGAGCAAATCACAGACATCAAACGAGATGGCACAAATTTCTTTCCGTAAAAACATGAGGAACCCATATTTTGAAATTTGAAAATAAACCATAGGCTTTTCAAGTGATCATTAAAGGTCGAATTCGATGTCTTAACGAACACACGAGGTGTTATTTAGCGATTTGCATCAATTAATACTTTCATTGTGGCTTCATGGGACCTGGTTGGTAGGGCGCTGGACTCTCGTGCTTGAGAAAGGGAGCTCGAATCCAGCTGTCCGAAGAACCCTAGTGTAGTAAATGGTGACTGGTGCACGCTAAATCTGTCTGGTCGCAAAGTCCTCCATGTTCCTATAAAAATATTTTTTTCTGTTTGGGGGTATTGAATTGGAGATAGATCGTTCTCTGGTTCAGATCAAAATTACGATGTGTGGATAAATTAGTGAGTGTATGAATGGGTCAACCCTATAAGCGGGTGTGACGTATGGATGTGGCAGAAGTCAAATTCTTTGCTATAGAGGGCGCCACTGGAAAACAAGAACAACCGCACCCCTGCCTTATTAGCCAACTTGGATTCATCACAGCTGTAGCGTT